TAATTTATTCTAATTTATTAACTTCTGCCCGCCCTGTCTGAGAAGGGAGCACTCCTCCCTCCATGGCTGCTGGTGAGGCCTGGGGCTGTGGAGCAGCTCCTCTGGCCAGCTGGGTAGCCTGGGAGGGGAGAGGGCTTGGGTGTGGCCCCGTTGGAGAATGATCTTGCCCTTTTGTTTTCTTGTTTTTGTTTGTGCCCTCTGGTACTTGCTGAGAGAAAAAAATGTGAGCAAAGCAGAAGGAGGTGGGAAAATGGCTCCAGACCCTGTGTGCCCCGCCCCATGCCTTTCCCTTAGTGGTGGGAAACCCTTATCTTGAAAAGTGAATGTGTGCCCTTCCCCAACCTCTAGTGTATTTCACAGAAAACAAAAGCTCCCAATAAAACCGTGTTGAAACCTGAGCCCACATCTTTAGCTTTCTTCTCCAGAAGCTGGGCCCTGGGTGGAGTTTTGGTTTCCTGGGCTATCATGCTATCCGTGTCTGAGTCAGACTGGTTAAGCTTGGCTATTGATGGCTGTAAAAGGGTCACTTTCTTCATCAGGGAAATACAGAGTTCCTGAACCGAAAGGGCCTATACAGAGGAAACGAGTCACATCGACTTGCCCAGGGCCACCCAATGATTTAGTGCTGGCACCAGGACTGCAACCTTTGGGGGTCAACGTGAAGGAACTAGGGAGAGGGGTCTTGCCTGGTGTGGGGGATGAAGTGGAGGGAGCTGGGCCTCTGCCTCCAGGTCAAGGAGGACTCTGAGGGGACCCAGGCCCAGCCTCACGGTCTGAGGAAACGGGGACTGTGGCTCGGTCTTGGATGAGGGTCAAACCTGTGGAAACAGGAAACTAAGGAGGCCTCAGCCTGGGAGGCAGCAAGGGGAGAGGGGTGTCTGGCCTTGGGCCGGGTCGACATCAAGGAAGTGGAGGGCTCAGAAGCCCAGCCTTGGAGTCAAGAGGAGGCAGTAGGAGTAGGGACCCAGCCTTGGTCCTGGAGTTAACGGGGAATCAAAGGATTGGGCACGAGGGGGTCGGAATACGGCGGACTGCGAGCAGAGGGGCCCCCAGGCCAGTGCCCAGCGGCACGCAGGGGCGGGGCTGTCTGTGGGGGCGGGGCAGCAGGCGGTCACGTGGCTAGCGCGGAGCGGGGCTGGGCGCCCGCGCGTCTCCTAGCGGCTGACGTCACTGTGCGGGCGTCTGCTGACTCCACGGACCGCGGCGTCGCAGCTGCTGAGTCTCAGCCGGGTTGTTGTTGCTGTTACCTCTGCTGCCGCCGCGGCTGCCACCGCCATGGCTCAGTACAAGGGTGCCGCGAGCGAGGCGGGCCGCGCCATGCACCTGATGAAGAAGCGGGAGAAGCACCGCGAGCAAATGGAGCAGATGAAGCAGCGGATCGCCGAGGTGCGAACCAGGCCGGGGAGCCTGGAAACATGCGCGCTGCCCACTGCCCCGACCCCCTGGGGCCCTGCGCGTCCCCGGGCGGCAGGCGTAGAGCACCGGCAGCGAGCCGGGGCAGAACCCTTGCTCCCTGACCTCCAGCAAGAGGCAGAAACGAGCCGGCGAGTCTGATCATCTTTAAAATGGGCTCAGAAGGCTGTGCCGAGCTAGCTCGCGACAAGCCTCCCGCTGGAGGGAGCCACAATCAGTGGTTTTAACGGTCGGTCCCATTGGAGCGCCCCTCGCGGGCACAAAGCATCCTGGCTTTGGCCCCTCAGCCCTGAGAGCGAGGTCTCTGCCCAGAGCCAATCGATACTGGGAAGGCCAAGCCCCTCAGGTCTCGGCCAATCACCTGGCAGCTGAGGCTCACTCCAGAGCCCTTTATGCTGCAACAAAAGCGTGCGCGAGCATCAGAGGTGCTAGTGGTTCGTAAAGGGCTTTAGCGAGTGGCGATGGGCAGTCAGGTAGGAAGGAGTCCTCCGCCTGGGCCTTTGCGGGAGACTCTGGAGGAGCGTGGACTCAGAGCGCGAGGGGAGAGCAGGTACTGTGGCAGCCAGGCCTAAAGAAGTGGCCCCAGTTCATGCTTTCCCGGCCCTGCCATCCCAGTGCCCACTCTCTCGCCAGCCAGAGGTACATTTCTCAGCTGGCCATCTCTGGAGGCCGCTGGCCAGAGGGGGACCTATTGGGATGGGGCTGGGCTGGAGTAAGGAGGTCTCACGAGAAGCTTAGTAACATCTGGAGCAGGGAGGGAGCGACTTTGCTCAGTGAGGGACTAGGCCTCCTGGCCACTCTTCACTCTCTCCTGTCACCCCTTGGTTTGGGTCTCCAGAGCTTCAGCTTAAAGGCTGGGTATGAAAAATGTCAAAGGCCGGCAGAGCCCATGACTCCAGACCGCTGGGGGAGCTCTGGTCCCCATCGGGAGGCATGGAGGGGCCAGAGCAGTTCAGAGGTCACAAGGAAACGACCCCATTCGGCTCCCTCAGCACTGAAAGAGCCCCTCGCAGCCCTTGTGGAACCTTCCATCAACTAAGGAGAGGGGACATGTTTTTCCCAAGATTGCGTAGTGAGGCCTGGGGCAGATCTGGACTAGGACCCAGGCCCAGGTCCCCACTTCCATGGTGGGGTCATGGGTTATGGGTGGCCCTCACTGCTTCTCTCCCTCCCCGACAGGAGAACATAATGAAATCCAACATCGACAAGAAGTTCTCTGCTCACTACGACGCCGTGGAGGCGGAGCTCAAGTCCAGTACCGTGGGTGAGCAAAGCGCCTGCCACCCTGTCCTGGACCCAGACATCTGTTGCTTTGCTGGCTCCAGGCTGACCGACCCTTAACCCCATGTCTCCTTGCCTCACAGGACTTGTGACCCTGAATGATATGAAGGCCAAACAGGAGGCACTGGTGAAGGAGCGGGAGAAGCAGCTGGCCAAGAAGGAGCAGTCGAAGGAGCTGCAGCTGTGGGTCCTCCCATCCCCACCCGCAGCCCTCCCCTTGAGACGTAGCTAGTGCTTTGGGTCAGATCAGGCTGTTCCTGAACCTCGAATGGGAAATCTTTGTGTCGTAATGAGAACCCTGCCCGTGAGCTTGAAGTGACCCAGGGCAGTAGGACTCTTCAGGGTCTGTACCACGTGGGCCCCATGCTGAGCACACAGGTGGCTGTGGGTCAGGGAAGAGGTCACGGGGTGGGGACATGGTACATGATGGCTGTCCGTACCTTGGCAGGAAGCTGGAGAAGCTGCGAGAGAAGGAGCGCAAGAAGGAGGCCAAGCGAAAGATCTCCAGCCTGTCCTTCACCCTGGAGGAAGAAGAGGAGGCAGGCGAGGAAGAGGAGGAGATGGCTATGTATGAGGAGGAACTGGACAGGGAAGGTGAGGGCAGGCTTGGGGCACCAGGGAGGGGCCCTGCCTGCAGCCCTCTGTCCCGGGTTTCTGGCTCTAGAGTGAACATCCACCACCCAACCTTGATTGCCCACTGTGCTCGTGGTCCCCAACCTCACACGTCGGGGCAGGAGAGGAAGACCAAGTCTGCAGTGCGTGCAAAGCTGAGTTGGGGTGGGGGTTCGCCTTCAGTGGCAGAGTGAGTCAGAGCCAGGCGTACATCCCCTGGGCAGGGGTGTGGGGTCTTTGGTGCGAGAGCCTGCCAGGGCGAGCTGCTGTGTGTGCCATGAAGGATGGACCGAGGAGGGGAGAGGATGGTCTAGACCAGGCTGGCCGGTAGAACTTTCCGTGATGATGGACGTGTACGTGTCTGTGCTTCCAGGTGGCCATTGAGCATGTGGCTCCTGACTGGGGCACGAGGTTGTTAAATTCGGTTTGATTGATTTCTGTGTAAATCGACACAGCCACAGAAATTCAGTGCCTACTAATTGGACAGTGCAGTTCTCAGCCAAGGGAACGAGGGGTCAGAGGGACAAATTGGGAAGGCTGGGGAGCAAGGACAAAGCCAACATGGGGACTCCGTGTGTTATGCCCATGCCCCAGGCTGGGCCAGGGCTGAGGCAGACTGACAAGCAGGGCACTGTCCCTGTCATCAGAGTCACACAGGTTAGCATGCACCCCGCCAGGGCCTGGGCCAGGCCAGGGCCCAGGGAAAGTGTCCCACAGGGGTCAGTTGAGTTGGGCCTTCAGAATGCGGATATTTCATTAGCGGCCAGAGACACGGGTGGGGAAAGACGTGGAGTCGATTGCTGAGAGCAGTCGATGCAGAAGTGGAGCGGCAGGAGTAGACACATTTGAGGACTGGGAGGGCGCGGTGGCAGGCCTGGGCTGCTTTAGAAAGCCTGATGGCCAAGGAATGGTGCTGGATGGTGCTGCTTGGTGTGGCGACAGGCTGGGTGTGATGGCTTTGAGGGGAGTGGCTGATGCGGTCAGGAGGAAGCCTGTGAGCGTCCTGGGGTTTTCTGTGTTCTAGGGGCCATAGTAAAACATGTGAAAAGAAACAGGTGCGGTCAATTTCAGTACTATTTGGTAGTAAGTGTTTAGTGGTGACACGTTACATAAGCTATGCTTCTGTGTGGCAGGGGCCACCATTTTGGACAGCACAGATCTGGGGGAAGGCCGTGTGTCACTGGGGCTTCGTGGGGGCTTCCCTCACCCCAGAGGCTTTGTTCCAGGGGCCTGGTGACATGGTGCTGGCGTAGGATTTTTTTAAAGCCCTCTGGGTGACTCTGATGTGCAGCCAGCCTCTGGACCCCCCAGCCCTGGAGCAGGAGGCTGGAATGCAGGCTTATCTCCTGGTCCACAGTTCCCAAAGGGTGCTTCAGGGTCCCTGGGGGTCTCCGAGACCCTTTTGGAGGGTAGGCAAGGTCAAGAACATTTTTGTAATCATACAAAGACATCTTTGGCTTTTTGCATTCTGGTTCTTTCATGAGTGTGCAATGGAGTTTTCCAGGAGCCACGTGACATGTGATGACATGTCCAACAGCTAACAGAGTGCTCGCTTTTCTGTCCTGAAGTCTTCGGTGTTTCTCAGGCTTACTTTCTAATTTGGCGAATGTCGGTGGCCACAGTCCCCTAGACAAGAGCTCGCTGGGGTCCTTGGCAACGTGTCAGAGTGTTCACAGGTGCCGACTCCGGCAAGTTGAAAAGCCACCGTTCTAGTTCATCCATGTCCTCATTGGAGAAACCTCGGCCCAGAGTCCAGGATGCTGGCAAGGCTGGCTGTCCTCTTCTCCCTGCTGGCTCTGGTCTCAGTAGTCATGGGACTTTGGGCTTCAGATTCCTCGTGGGAGAAAGAAACAGCATGCCCCTTTAGGATTAGAGACATCAGACATGTAACTGTGCCGAGCACAGCTCCTGGCACAGGGGATCATCCCCCGAGCACCCGCCCCTCTGCAGGTGCCCTGTCTCTCCAGCGCAAAGGAGCCTTTACCCCCTCAGGCGCTAGAACTGATGCCTTAAGTCCTCCGAGGTACTCCAGGTCACGGCCGCTGGGAGAAGAACGCAGTGCTCGGTCTCCTGTCCAGCTACTGGCCGTGGAGACCAAGGTGAAGGCGTTTGGCAAGGGCGCCTTTTAGGTCACCATAAGTACTGAGAAGAAGACGGTGCCGGCCACTGTGGCTGAGAGCAGAGGGCAGTGTGTCCCAGCCAGGATGGTCCAGGAGGCCTCTGAAGAGATGGCGTTTGAGCTGAGGTCTGAGCGACAAAGGTCCGGGGTGTCCTGCGGGCAGGGGCCATCGTGCCACTGACTCTTACATTTCCTCTGGCTTCAGAGATCACCACGAAGAAGAGGAAGTTGGGGAAGAACCCAGATGTGGACACAAGCTTTCTGCCTGACCGAGACCGCGAGGTATAGGCAGCCTGACCCTGGCTCTGATCTTGGCAGAGGCTTTTGCTCAGGGAGCAGCGCCCTGCATGTCCCCTGAGTACCTTGGGCCTCCCTCCTGTACCTGTCTCCTGTCCTAGGAGGAGGAGAATCGGCTCCGGGAAGAGCTGCGGCAAGAATGGGAAGCCAAGCAGGAGAAGATCAAGAGTGAGCGCTCGCCAAGTGGGACCGCATGGCCCGCCTGGGGTGCTGGGACAGCGGGTGGCTGGGGCTGGGCGCTTGCGGTGGGGGAGGGACACCTGGTTCTGGAGGCTACGTGACACTTTGCTTTGTAGGCGAGGAGATTGAAATCACCTTCAGTTACTGGGATGGCTCTGGGCACCGGCGGACAGTCAAGGTGGGCAGCGGGGGCGGGGGGCTGCACCCCACTCCCAGTGCCCCTCGGATTCAGGGAGGAAGAGCTTTAATCCAAACTTGGGAAGCCCGCAGGCCCCTTCATGTGGGTGGCCCCTGGGAGGAGCAAGGAAGAGGATCCAGCCACCTGTGGGATAGCGAGGGCTCTGGGGACCCTAGCAGGGGCCTCCAGGCCTTCCCGAGAGCCCATCACCATCTCCCCCTCCCAACTCCGTGGTGACCTGGTTGCCGGCTCCTGGACCCACTCGCGCAGATGAAGAAAGGCAACACGATGCAGCAGTTCCTGCAGAAGGCGCTCGAGATCCTGCGCAAAGACTTCAGTGAGCTCAGGTGGGTGTGCGTGCGCGTGCGTGCGCGTGGAGGAGTGCGTGCGCGTGCGTGCGGAGTGTGTGCACGTGCGCACGCGCGTGCATGTGCATCTGGAGCCTGCAGTCCTGACCCTGATACCAGTGGTTGCTGCTGCCTGTGACGCGCGTATCAGGATGACTCCTCCCTGGATAGGAAGGCGGCGTGCTGCCACTGCGTTCCCAACAAGAGGGCCAGGGTCCTTTCTCCATCCCTGTCACCATACACAGCTCAGGCGGGAGCGTCGGTCTTAGCTCTTTTACCCAGAGGTGGAGGACGGTGGGCGCTGGTGCCGGGCTCACCGACCCTAGCAGCCGGCCTCAAAGCGTTTGGGGCTGCTGCCAGCTCCGGCGCCCGTCTCCTTGGCTGGCTGCTTCCTCATCCTTCCTCGCCCTCCTGCCTTTCTCAGGTCAGCAGGGGTGGAGCAGCTCATGTACATCAAAGAGGACCTAATCATACCCCACGTGAGTCTCCTCTCTCCCCGAAGCCCTGGGCAGGGTGGCAGTGGGAGGCGCGGTAGGCTTTGGTGTGCCTGGGGACTTCTCGGGACAGTCTCCGCTCCACGCTGGGTCTTTGGCTCGGGCTGGGGTGGGGCGCCATGTGCGGAGCTAGGCCTGTGTCCAGCCTGCGGGCCGGCGGGCGGGCGGGCGGGTGGGAGAGACCGAGATGGGTCATCAGCCATGGCTTTTCCGTCCCTGGCTCTAGCACCACAGCTTCTACGATTTCATCGTCACCAAGGCACGAGGGAAGAGTGGTGAGTGCGCCCGGCCCAGCAGCCCCCTTCCCCAGCGCCTTGGCAGCAGCCTGAGGGTGCAACGGCCGCCTCTCCCTTGCAGGGCCCCTCTTTAACTTCGACGTTCATGATGACGTGCGGCTGCTCAGTGACGCCACCGTGGAGAAGGACGAGGTACAGCGGGGCAGGGGTGCTGGGCCGCGAGAGGGAGGAGCATGGGGGGAAGGACAAGCGGAGAAGCCAGGCGCCCAGGCGGCCCTGAGCCACAAGGCCTGGCCCTCCTTCCTTAGTCACACGCGGGCAAGGTGGTGCTCAGGAGCTGGTACGAGAAGAACAAGCACATCTTCCCCGCCAGCCGCTGGGAGCCCTACGACCCCGAGAAGAAGTGGGACAAGTACACGGTGAGGAGGCCCCTCCGAGGGGGCCCTGGCTCTTGGCCGGGGGGTGGCAGCTGGCCTGGCCTGCTCGGGAACCACGGTCAACGGGCCGGCCCACCCTGCTCAGCTCGGCTTCCCGTCTCTGTCTCCTCGTCCTCACACTAGATCCGGTGAATGCAGAGGTGGAGCAGCCTCGGCTCCCCGGTTCCCACCAGCCTCCCCACCCCCTGGGCCTCCTGGACAACCGGTGCCCGGCTCCCCCTCCCGTGAAGTGACTGACCTACCCCTGCCCGTGATGTTGTCGTTCACTGCGTTTTTCTTTCAAGATAAAGAAATGCACATGTCAGAGTTGGAGTACCCGCAGCGTGTTTTGTTGTAAAAAAACCTTTTTTTTGAGATAAATAAAGTTCACCATTGTGGCCATTCAAAAATGTACAATTCATGGGTATTTAGTGCGTTCGTAATGTTCTGCAACCATCACCTCTAGTTCTAGAATATTTCCAGCTCCCTAGAAGGAGACCCCGTACCCATTAGCAGTCTCCCCGCCCCAGCCCCTGGCACCCCTTAGTCCGCTGTCTGGGTGCTCCTGTTCTGGAGCTTTCGCCTAAGTGGAGTCATACAGCATTTGTGGTCTTTGTGTCTGACAAGAAAGTGTGTTTGGGGAGCGTGGGAGGGAGTTGGGCAGGAATGTGTCTGGAGGGGGAAGGGGGGGCATTTGCAACCCAGGCCAGGCAGGCCCAGCTGGCCCTGCAGCCAGCCCATCCTCCCCAGGGCACCTACGTGGCATTGTGGTTCTTTACTGTGGGTGGGAGGGGCGTTCCGTTCCAGGCCTCCCTCCCAGCCCCTTGGGCTCTTTTGTCTCCTAGCTGCCCATTCCGTCCGGGACAAGGCTGTCCTGTGGCTCCCAGCCACCCCGCATCGCTGCCATAGCTGTGCAAACCCACCCTTGCCCTCCTTGCTCTGAGCCCTTCCCTGCGTCTCTTCCCAGTCGCGACACGGGAAGGCTGCTATGGATGCCCTGCTCGGACTGCCCTGGGGCTGGTCCCTGTCGCGGCCCCATGGGAGAATCTTGTTGGAGGCGGGTGCTCCCCAGTTCCCTTTGGATAAGCTGAGGCAGGCAGGCCTGGCTCCAGGAGGCTGAGGAAGGCAAACTGACCACTCCCGACTCCCGCCCTTCTTCTCCTTGCCTGAGGCCAGGCAGTGGGGACGGGACAACCCCTGGCTTGTGGGGAGCTTCCAGCTCTGAGTCTGGCCCCATCTCACTGGCAAATACATGGGCTTTGCTGGGTGCACAGGCTCTTGCGCCCTCCTCCTGTGAACAGGGCCCTGTGTCCCATTCAGCTATAACATGCTGGCAGCTAGGAGCTGTCGCTCAGGCTTCCAGGCCCTGGGTCTGGGACGGGGCCATCTGGGGTCACTTACAGGAGGGAGGAGGGTAGAGTAGGCTTTGAGGCACAGCAGGGAGGGGGTGGCCAGGCCTGACCCTAGGTCTGGACAAGTCTGGGGACCTCAATGGGATCTTTTGTTTGGCTCCGGGAACCCTGGCGAGGGGATCGTTTGGCCTTCTGCACCAACCCCCTCCTGCCTTCTTTGAGAAGACTCGAGAAGAGCAGGCTTCAGTGGAAAGGGAGCCCCTTTCAGCCAGCTCACCCAATGGCGGATGGTTTCTGAGGGAGCCACCCTCGGCCTCGCAGCTTCTGGAAAACAGGCTCCTTGAGGCCCGATCTTGGGTCCTGGCAGGGCAGGACCTGGCTTCTGGAAGCAGCCCTAAGTCCCTGGCAGGTTGGGCTGGGGCAGCGGAGAGCCTTTCAGAGTCAGGGTCAAGAGGTCAGGGGGACTGTCAAGGAAGGAGACCCACTTCCTTGTGGCCAGCGAAGACATGGAAAAGGATGCACCACGGTGGGGGAGCCTAAGGGAGGAGCCCCTTGTCCTAAGTAAGGACCATGGCGGCCGTCTGGAAGGCTTGCTGGAAGAGTATTGGTGGGGCAAACTTCTTGCAGTTGTACCACTGGGGGCATCCGGCCTTACTCCTGGAGGCCGGCACAGGCCGGAGCGGGGGACTGTGTAGCGCCAAGGGCTCTCTCCTTGGGACCTTGGATGCATATGAATGTGGAGCTCAGGGAAGGCACTGCGCAGCTGCAAAGAGACATGGGGAGCCGCTATCTGATGCTGTGGAATGACGTGAGGTCACCAAGGTCAGAGTGGTCACCAATATTTCTGGAGTCCGGTGTGCCAGAGGTGGGCTAGGTCCCGAAGACAAACTGCAGAGAGGAAGGCCAGCCCTAACTCGCTTGCCCAGGCTTCATTCATGAGGTGCGTGTGTGTGTCTGTGCGGGCGAGTGTATGTGGCTATAAACAACAAATAGGGAAACAAAAAATGAACAAGCACGGTGAAGAGGCCTTTCTGGCGTGGTGACGTGGAAGCTGACAAGAATGACAAGTCAGCCATTCCAAAACAAGGCAGGGGGTGTTCCAGGCGCAAAGACACTGGTGGGCACGTTGGAGGCGAGCGGGACTAGAACAGAGGGGAGGGGGAGGAGAAGGAGAGGCAGGCGGCAAAGGTCACGGCGTAGACGAGCGGAAACGGGGGATACTGACCTTTTCTCATTCACTTTGAACTGTTCTGCAGAGGCCAGAAATTCTCCCTGCTCACACATCGGCACGAAAGGGGTGTGGACGTGGTGATGCCTCACCTCTCCCCAGCCCTCCCGGCCCAGTTTCCACATGCCCCCAACACACGTGTCACTTAATACATCCAAATATCCTACATGCCTATAGCACCTGCCGTTCCTAGGCGGTCTCCCATCCAAGTTCTAACCAGGCCCGACCCTGCTTAGCTTCCCAGATCAGACATCGGGCTTGTTCAGGGTGGCATGGCCATAGACCATGGACCGTGGCTCCACCGGGGCGCGAACCCAGGACCTTCTGCGTGTAAAGCAGATGTGCTCACCGCTACGCTATGGAGCCACGTCCAAGCCTCCACATCTTTGTTAAAGCAGCATGATTTCACTCTCTAGAGCCTGTCCCACTTTGCAGCCCCCCAGCAGGTGGGCATTCTGGCTCTCCCGAGCCTCACCCACAGGGTACTGTCACTCCCCACCAGGGGACATATGCAACCTGAGATGGGACAAGTGATCTCTCTGCGTGAGTTTTAGTTTTTGATTTAAATTTTTTTTTCAAATGAGGAAAAATGCATATAACATAATAACTATTAACCATTTTAAAAATGTACATTTTGGTGGCATTTCGTACATTCACAATGTTGTACAACCATCCCCTCTGTCGAATTCCAGACATTTTCATTATTTCAAAAGGAGACTTTGGTAAAAAAAAAAAAAAAAAAAGAGAGAAACTCCATGCCCGTTAAGCAGTATCTCCTTGTTCCTCCTCTCCCAGTCCCTGGCGGCCACTAATCTAATTTCTGCCTGTATGGATTTGCCTGTTCTGGAAGTTTCACATAAATAGAATCATACAATTAAAGAAGATCTACATAGATGGAAAGACAGTCCATGTTCATGGATTGGAAGATAATATTGTCGGGGTGACTATGGCCATGTGACAAATTAATGAAAACTCAGAGGCTTGAAACAACATTCATTTATTACCTGATTGTTTCCATAGGTCAGAATTCTGGGTATGACGGAACTGTGTCCTCTGCTCAGGGTCTCACAAGGCTGCAGTCGAGGGTGGCTGGGCTGCCTTCTCTTCTGAGGCTCAGGGTCCTCTCCCAAGCTCGCCATGATTCTTGGTAGAATTCAGTTCCTAGTGACTGTAGGACTGAGGTCCTTGTTCTCTTGTTGGCTTTTTTTTTTTTCAATTTTACCGTATACGATTTTTTAAAAATTTTTTGTGGTGACATTGATTAATGAAATCTAATAAGTTTCAGACGTACTCTTTAACAGTAAGGCATATATATATATTTACACTGTGTGTTCACTTCCCATAGATTTCTTTCTGTCACCACATATTTGATCCCCTTTATCTCATCTACCTACCCCCCTCTTCCCCACCCCCTACCCTCTGGTAACCGCTAGTCTATTGTCCATGTTCATGAGTCTCTGTCCTGTTCATTTGTTGCTTTTAGGTTTATATCCCACATATAAGTGATATCAGATGATTTTCAACTTTTTCTGTCTGGCTTATTTCCCTTAGCATGATTATCTCGAGGTATATTCATGTCACAAATGGCAGTATTTCATCTCTTCTTATGGCCGAGTAATATTCCATTGTATATATGTACCACAGCTTCTTTAGCCAACCATCTATCGTAGGACACTTCGGTTGCTTCCATGTCCTGGCCACTGTGAATAATGCTGCTATGAACATCGGTGTGCAAATATCTTTTCAGATATGAGTTTTCAAGTCTTTGGGGTAAAAATGCCCAGTAGAGGGATTGCTGGATCATATGGCAGATCAATTCGTAGTTTTTTTGAGGAAGCTCCATGCTGTTTTCCATAGTGGCTGTACCAATTTGCAGTCCCACCAGCAGTGTATGAGTGTTTTTTTTTTTCTCCGCATCCTCTGTTATTATTACTTGTTATTATTATCTTGTTATTACTTGTTCTGTTAATTATAGCTATTCTAACAGGTGTGAGATGATATCTCATTGTGATTTTGATTTGCATTTCCCTAATAGCATCTTTTCATGTATTTGTTGGACATTCGTACGTCCTCTCGTTGGCTATTGGCTGGGATGCTTTCATCTCCCAGAGGCCACCTGAGGTTCCTTGCCACCTTGTCCCCTCCATAGCCCCTCTCATGCCTCAATTCTCTCCTTTCGGGAAGGTCTCAGTCTCCATTAAGGGTTCATCTGAATAGATCAGGCCCACCCAGATAAGCTCCGCTTTGATGAACTCGAAGTCAGCTGGTTAGTCACCAAACCATGGGAGTGATGTCTCCTCATGTACAAAGCTTCTGCTCTTCCTCAGGGGGAGGGGATTGTATAGGTTCATATGCTAGGTGGCGGGAACTTTGAGGCCATCTTAGAATTCTGCCCCCAAATGACAACTCTCCCTAAAGTGATCTATGAATTCTATGTAATCCCTACCCCAAATCCTAGCATGCTTTTCCATAGAAATTGACAGGCTGACCCTCAAATTATTTAGAAATTATATGGAAGGACCTAGAATACCCAAAACGATTTTGAAAAAGAACAGAGTTGAAGGGATCACATTACCCGATGTGAAAATTTACTATGAAGCCACAGTAATGGAAGCAGCGAACTATAGATGTAAGGATAGATAGGCATATAGGTGGATGGCACAGATTTAGGAGTCCAGATATAAATCCTCATGTTTACGTGTCTAAGAAATACTGCAGGAGCAGTCAGATATCTGAATGGAAAAAGTAAACTTTAATCCCGATGCTATGGATTGAATTGTGTGCCCTAGAAAGAAATGTCCACATCCTCTCCCCTAGTACCTGTGAATGGGACC